TCTTTGTCATGTTGAATTGATAATGTTATAATTTATGAATATGTCCTGAAGATGGTTTATTAGACCGAAACGTCCGACGTTGACATATTAACATTAAAACAGCATAATTGTATATGAGGATTTTTGTTTGTTTTTTCCGTATATTTTTCTTCATATATATATATATGTATATATTTATACGAGATCTGATAAAAAAGTATCGGGACTGGTGGTATCAAAAGAAAACTATTGTATATATCACTTTGGCATTTAGCATTTAATCACTTTCGAAGTAGTCGGCTTCTGATGCCACGCACTTTATTCGGCATCGTTTCCACTGATGGAAGCATTCCTGGAACTTCTTTTTTGGGGATAGCGAGCAGCTGCTTCGTCGCATTCTTCTGAATTTCCTCGACGACTTGACAATTGTTCCTTTCAAGTGGGATTTGATTTTTAATGAAGAAGAAGTCGCAAGAGACGAGACCTGAGGAATGTCGAGTTTGGCCAAAATCTGCTGCACAAGCCATAGTAATTGATGAGACATCTGTGATGTAGTCAGACGCCCACACTCTACACACTTTCCTTCAAAACACCGTTTTAAAGAACGTTATAAATTAGTGTGTATACACGACAGAGTTTAAGGTCAATATGTGCCAAGCGGCTTCACTCATTGTACCTTAGATTCATTACCATCACAACAGTCCCGGTACTTTTTTTTTAAAAAAATATAAACATTCTTTTATATTTTTAAAAGTATAAAAATTCTTTTTAATATCTAACTATTGTATATCTTGAAATTCTCAACAAAATCCAAAGTGTCTGCGATGTTATCAGTCCTGAAATGGCATCTCGACTGCGGTCACTTTCCCACCAACATGACGTGGCTTGAGTCTATTTTTTCATGGAAATTGTTTTAATAACCTTCCCTCTTTTGCATCTCGACTGCGCTAATTTAAGCGTAAGACCAGATTGGCGACTAGCCCTCGTCGTTTTACTGATGGAATCGTTAGATGTAACTGTAAGCTCTATTCTTATAGTTTTTTTTCTCGTACTTCTCCCCTGTGGAACTTTCTTCCGGTTTCTTGGTTTCCTGCGACCTAAAAGAATACCATCCACATATGGATAGACGGACACTCGTATCTGAGGATGACCGTCTAATAAGGCGGCTAGATAATCCCTGTTGCAGACACCAGCTCAGGCATATTTGTGTTTGTTCAACACCCACAGTGATTACCTTAGTTACAGTTTTGGGGAGAGAGCGCGATATCTAGCGAGATCAACAGTCTGAACAAAATTTTAAAAATTCCAAAGCAACATCAATCGCGATATTCCGTCTTCCTGAAATCTGTTCTTTTATTGTCCTTTCTCTTCATTTTTCTTTTTTTTATGTATATATATTCTTTCACTCCCACTAGCCCCTTACATCTTAGTGGTATTATCGCCTTGCTTGAGGGGAATTATTTTAAAACAAAACCTTTATTTTTAACCTTTCTCTGTTTTTCATGATGACCAATCGACATTTGTCAAGATTAGTAAGATCAGTTGTCGAATTAAATTTTCACAAAGATAGATAGATAGATAGATAGATATGAAAAAAGCTAGATAGAGACATACAGACAGAGATAGATAGATAGATAGATAGATAGATAGATAGATAGATAGATAGATAGATAGATAGATAGATAGATAGATATGAAAAAGCTAGATAGAGGGAGTGAGACAGACAGACAGACATGAACAGACTGAGATAGATAGATAGATAGATAGATAGATAGATAGATTGTAGACAATGTAAAAGTGAAAAGCTATGTCTATAAGAGAGAGAAAGAGGGAGCGAGAAAGAGAGAGAGAGAGTGTAAAGAAACGTGCGGTACCATCCGATTGCGTAAACAATTTCAGTCACATTTTTCTCTCTGATCACTATTAAACTTACTTAAAAAGGTCTCTTGACCGTCCACAATATCAGCTTCTTTCCCCCTCTCTCTCTCTCTCTCTCTCTCTCTCTCTCCCTCACACACACACGCGCGCACACACACACACTTTGTTCTTCCTCTACATTTCTTATTGACCTAAGCTTTTCCTTTATTCCCCGCTCTGGTCTCATGTCATCTTGAGTCAGATAAACATATAAAGTTCGTTTGCTTTTTCTGTCTGTCAGCTCGATGTCAACTTTTGTGACATAATTCTACGTCACCTTTTCTTTCTTTTTTTGTTAAGTACTTTCCAATGAAATGTGTTCTTTGAATTCAGAGAGTGGCGAATGTCTTCTTAGGTGATTGAATATTCTCAAAGATAAAAGTCAGTAACATCCATCTTTTTTTTTTTCTTTAGCCGTCACCGACAAGAAGAAACTTGACCTTCTACAATCCAAATTGTGTTCCTGTCTAAATTCTCAAAAGCGGCCATACCTAGACTCTGAACCCATAGACAGTGGCGGTAGGAGTATATTATAATCGTGTATGATGGCATAATGGTCAAAGAGCAGATCTCGCAAGGCATTCATTCTAATCATTGCTGGAATATGCAAGAGTATAGAGCAAGAATTTCTTCTTCTTCTTTTTCCGTTTCTTTCTTCTTCTTCTTCTTCTGTTTCTTTCTTTTTTTTTTTCTTCTTCTTCTTCTTCTTCTTCTTTCTTTTTTCTCTTTCTTTCTATTCTTTACTAGCAGTAGAGCCCGGCGTTGCCCGGAGATATAACAGTAAGAGATAGATCAAGTATCCACCATCATAAAGACTGAAAAATAAAATTGACAAAGATTATTGTTTCAGGTTGACGGACACGCATGTCTTAATTAGTTTTTTTTTTTTTTTTTTTTTTTTTACGAATTGTTTTCAATCGTTATGAGTCTACCGATTGAATAGAATTTTATTATAAATAATTGTCTTGTAAATGGAATTTTTAAAGCATTCTGAATGTAAAAATAAAGAAAAAAGTATGCAAGAGAATAAGACACACTACCTGCCAAAAAAAAAGTGAAGTTTTGTTTTATCGACTGAAAAATATAGGAAATCCGCTCCCATATTTAAAGGAACCCACACACACAAACAAACCGATGTGAGTTGTCCCCCTTCCATTTTCACGATGTCTCTTAATCGTGTTTTCAAATTGATTTTGTGCAAAAACCATTATATTTTTCCCATTTTGGGCGCTGTTAGAACCACCACAAGGTAATTTTATGTAGTCCTGTGAAGTTTTGTTGAAATCGGTTGAAAGATGTAGGAAATCCGATCCAATATATAAACGTTACACACACACACACACACACACACACACACACACACACACAATCTGCGTTTTATAATAAGTAAGATTCATTTCTTTCTCCGTTTTTGTTCTCGTCTTCTTTCTTTTCGTTCTACATTTTTTCCTACTTATCCGAGATGTCATATTCTCCGCGTTCCTTCATCACGTCTTCCTCTTTTCATTTTGTCTTCTCCTCTATTTTCTTGGATTTAGCCATTTCCTTCTCCTTTTCTTGTTACTCTTCCTTCCCTTCTTCTTTTTTTTCATTCTTCTTTTTTTTACTTTTTGCTGAGATAACTTCTCTATTTTCCTTCATCACTTCTTCCTCCTTTCATTTTGTCTTCTCTTCTTCTTTCTTGCCTTTATCCAATTCTCTCTCCTTTTCGTGTTATTCGTTGGCAGTGGCGTAGCTGGAGTAAACGTCACCCGGGGCGGTCCGCTCAAATGTCACCTCAATGACCCCGATTCACCCTATGCTGAATGGTTAGCTGAATTTTCATACATGCTCTACCTCTACTTTACTCTACTGACTGGTACGTTACTGTTTACATGTATGATCCAAGACAAAATCCAATACAACAAATAATCAGTTCAAATCAAAAGATTTTTAAAATGCAACTCTTCACTTTCAGAACAACTAAATACAAAACACGGCAATACACAAAAGAATGACATTCGATACTATGGTCTTAGAATGAATGTTTTCTTGTTTTCATTGTGGCAAACTGGTCAATGACATCATCAAAATCTGTTTGTCTTGTAAGCTTGTTTTCAATGGACAGCACAGCCAGATCCGACAGTCTCGACTGGCTCATGGTTGACGTAATTTTCTGTTGTTAATTTTCCGATGTCCAATTTTCCGTTGCATCATTTTCTGGGTACCATTTAATTATCAATGATGTTTGAAAGTATTTTTCTTGACAAAAATGTTCTATTTAATTTTTAAGCATTTTTCGGAACATTGTAAATCAACTGCATTCTTTTAAAGGTTACCTAGAGAATTTATGCAAAGTTTATATTTTTGTTTTTCTTTATACAAGTAAAATAAATTTACATCGTATTTTGATGTTATTATGATTTTAGTTTTAGTGATAATTTAAAAACAATAAACTAGTACCAATAATGGAAAATTAAGTTAAAAATTTAAAAGAATTGTTTTTGGAAACCGAAAATAGGCACAAATTTTTCCGATTCCGATACCGTTTCCGATAACCCCAAAAAGTTTCGATTTTTCCGATTCTCGATTCCGATTAATCGTCCCAACACAAATAGATATATTCAAAAGTATATCGCTCACTCAATGGAAAATTGTATCTCAGCGAATTGATACACAGGCAAGACTGAAATTGTTGCACTTTTGGCTTCGTATTTCGCTTTGTTGTTATTAATGATGCAGAGTTAAAACACCATATCATCCGATAAAATGTTACAAACAATGTCTCTTGTTAGTAACCAAGATTGTAGCAACTGAAACACTGAAAACATTGCTATTTTTCCTACTCGCAAATTTCTCGACAATTTATTAGAAAAATTTCTGACGGGGGGAGGGTACAAAACTAGGGGAGTCATAAATTATTTCTGGGGAGTCATATGCCCGCCTGTGAAATCCTGTCTCCACCACTGTTTTCAGACTATTTTGGGCACCTTAGCCTGGTTGAAAAATTTTGTTGGGGTTGACATTGTGTCACCCCCTCCTGCGCTGGCACCCGGGGCGGTCCGCCCACCCTCGCCCCACCTTAGCTACGCCCCTGTTTGTTGGTCACTTCTTCTCTTTCTTTTCTTTCTTTTTTTATCCTTCTGTGATAAGATATTAATTTCTTTCTACTTTTGTGTTGCTCTTTGGTCTCTTCTTTTTCCTTTTCTTTCTTCTTTTTTCGTTTTTTTTTTTTTTCTGAAATATCAACTTCTATACTTTCCTTCATCACGTCTTCCTCCCTTCATTTTGTCTTGTCCTCATCTTTCTTACCTTTATCTAATTCTTTCTTTTTTTGTTTCTCTTTGTTTTCTTCTTCTTTTTTTTTCATTCTTCTTTTTTTTCCTTCATTGTTGAGATATCAACTCCTCTACTTTCCTTCAACACCTCTTCCTCCCTTCATTTTGTCTTGTCCTCCATTTTTTTTACCTTTATCCATTTCTTTCTCCTCTTCGTGTTTTTCGTTGGTGTCTTCTTCTTTGTCTTTCTTCTTTTATCCTTCTTTGCTGAGATATCCACTTTTCTTCTTTCTTGTATTTATCAATTTCTTTCTCCTCCTTCGCGTTTCTCTTTGGCCTCCATTTCGTGTTTTTCTTTCGACTCTTCTTCTTTCTTTTAATTCTTCTTCTTTTTTTCTTTCTTTGCTGAGATATTCACTTTTCTAGTTGCCGTTTCGTGTTTGCCTTTGGTCTCTTCTTTCATTTCATTCTCCTTTTTTTCTTTCTTTACTGAGACATCAACTTCTCTACTTTCCTTCATCACGTCTTCCTCCCTTCATTTTGTTTGTTCTCTTTTTTTTTACCTTTATCCATTTCTTTCTCCTCTTCGTGTTTTTCGTTGGTGTCTTCTTCTTTGTCTTTCTTCTTTTATCCTTCCTTGCTGAGATATCAACTTTTCTAATTTTCTTCATCATGTCTTCCTCCCTCCATTTTGTCTTCTCCTCTTCTTACTTGTCTTTGTTCACTTCTTTCTCCTTTTCGGGTTTTTCTTTGGTCTGTTCTTCTTCCTTCTAATTTTTTTTCCTTCTTTGCTGAGATATCAACTTCTCTACTTTCCATCATCACGTCATCCTCTCTTCATGTTGTCTTCTCTTCTTTCTAGCCTTTATCCAATTCTTTCTCCTTTTCGTATTTGTCTCTGGCCTCTTCTTTCTTTTCTTTCTTCTTTTTCTCTTCTTTACTGAGACATCAACTTCTCTACTTTCCTTCATCACGTCTTGCTTCCTTCATTTTATCTTCTGCTCTTCTTTCTGGCCTTTATTCATTTCTTTCTCCTTTTCGTGTCTCTGTTTTGTCTCTTCTTTCTTTTTCTTCTTCTTTTTTCCCTTCCTTTCTGAGATATCAATTTGTCTACTTTCCTTCAACACATCTTCATCCTTTCATTTTGTCTTCTCCTCTTCTTGCATTTATCCTTTTCTTTCTCTTTTTCGTCTTTCACTTTGGTCTCTTCTTCTTTCTTTTCTTCTTTCTTTTCTTCTTTTTCCCTTCTTTGCTGAGATATCAACTTCTCTACTTTATTTTTTTACCGGTGCTCATACTGCAATTTTTACTGTTATCATTGCATGTTGTTTTTTTTTTTTTTACCAGAGATTTTCAATAATGTTCCAATGATGTTCTTTGTCTATGATTTCAATCCTATCCTACAGGTTGAAATCATAGACAAAGAACATCATTGGAAAATTCGTAAACTTAAGTAATCGGCACATATGCTAGGCCACAAAAATCTCCTGAGCCGACCAAGCATAGAAACGAATACAATATGGGAACCAGTAATAAGGATTACCAGAGAAAAGCAATAATAACTGCGAAAATTGAAATATGGTAAAAAAAATATGGAAATGATAACAGCAAAAATTGCAATATGAGCACTGGAAAAAATGATTGCTGAAGACATTAGGTTTATAATACCCAGAAATTCATCCACAGATGTTCTCAAGGACACATGGCACAGTGGATAAAAGCGTTACTTAGATCCAGTGACAGGACCCAAAGAGTATGAGTTTAATACTTGGAGAACTTGGAGGGGAGAATTAACAGGAGATCTTATAATTCACATCCATTAGAACAGTCGAACTAGAACAGTTTACCACAGCGAGCGAAATAAAGGGTTCAGTTCGACATTCCAACCAACTACTGAAATGTTGTGATAAATATGAGGATGGTAGTCCGAACAATGTAAATAGTGTATCGGCTTGAAAGTTCGAAAAATCTTATTAAAGATTTGCGCTATTACGTCCCTCAGAGTAGAGTTTAGTCAGGCATGCCTTACCGACTTGGCCACCAAGAACAGCCGCTCAGGCAAAGCCAAATTTTCGTGCTTTGAAGCGAAATTTCGAAGTTTTTCATATCTACACAGTTTCGCATCTAAACATAAAGAAAGTGAATTTTATAATATATTTTTTTTTATTAATCCGACAATTTTTATCACTTTAAATGTTATTTTTATCCCGGCACGCCTTACAGTATTGGACAGGAAGAACAATCGCTCAGGCGAAACCAAATTTCGTGCTTCCAAGCGAAATTTATCCCCTCGTAGATCTCTCAAGGTTTTTTTTTCTTTTTGTGTGTGTGTGTGTGTGTGTGTGTGTGTGTGTGTGTGTGTGTGTTATACTACCTATTCTATGGTAAATTGACTCTCCCACAGATAATAAGTAGTAGTAGTAGCAGTTGCCAGGAAGCTCAGTAAGCGGAGTAAGTCAGTCGATGTCGGACATTGAAGTATCATCCATCACAACTAGATTGCTGCGTCATTAACTCTTATTTCAAGTTCCTAACGTTTTGTACGTCGAACCTTTTTAGGACCGACTTAGTGAAGTACAAGCCTCAACTGTGAAAAACTACTTTACAACAGTGTGTGTGTGTGTGTGTGTGTGTGTGTGTGTGTGTGTGTGTGTGTGTGTGTGTGTGTGTGTGTGTTAAACAAAATCCATCTTGACCAGGCTCTTTGCTTCGAGGGAGAGGAATTGGAAGCCTGTCCCAAATAATATAATATGCTCTCCTTTTGAAAGAGACGTGAACTAATTTTAGTGCGAAGATTATTATAAGATTATTATAAGATTATTAATCTTGAATTAAAGGACGCACCCCACGCAAAACAGAGTAAGCGTAGAGATCGCATCCAATCGTCTGGAGACCTGATTTTAACACTGAATTCAATGTTACAATTTGCAGCAGTAAATTAAACGTTAAATTTTAATGTTACAATTAAGTCCACTTACGGGTGGATTTAATCTCCGAAAAACTCTGAATAGAAACAAGATAAGTGAACATTAAATCTTATTTATTTATTACCGAAGATTCCTATTCATATTCTTCTTTTATGTGTCGTGTCTCTTCGGAGGTGGGTGATCATGGCTCTCCACAACTTCCTGTCTTTGGAGCCCTTAGTCAAGTTTGTCTTTTTATATATCTCCTAATCCCTGTCCTGCCAAACATTTACACAAGCTTCTTTGCTAGGTCATGCGTTACTTTCCCCTGTCCCTCTTGTATTCAGTATGCCTTGTGAGTGTCAGATTTTCCACGTTCTCTTTCCTCATTATTTGCGCTAGGAATTTCCACTGTCTCTTTCTGATTCTAGAAGAAGTGTCCTTTTTTTTGTTTCTATTTTCTCTAAAATTCGAAAAAAACTGCTTGCCTTAAAAACATGCCTATTTTACCTTCTTTTGCTTGTTTTGGCGCAACATAATCTTAGTCACTTGGTATATGTATGTATTGTATATCTCATATGGGCACCAAAAGATTCCGTTCTTTGAAAGACATTTGTTCATTTTAGATCACATTTTTTCCTCTTCCTTTCTCCAATTTTCCTCCTACTCCCTTATTAAAGATATATTTATCGGATCTGTCCTTTAAAAAAGTAAGTCTTTTATTACATTTCCATTTCCTAACCTTCTTTACGCATCTCAAGTCCCTCTCTTTATTGCCTTCTCTTGATCAGACCTTTTTCTAGCCGCCATTTAATCTTGCCCTGTTTTCTCACCTACCATCTTTTAGCCATTATTAATAAATATACCTTCTTCTTCTTCTTCTTCTTCTTCTTCTTCTTCTTCTTCTTCTTCTTCTTCTTCTTCTTCTTCCGAACTCTTTATTCTTTTAAGACTCTCTTCTTCTTCTTCTTCTTCTTCTTCTTCTAGAAACGACTTCATACGTTTAATACGTTTACTTATTCGCCCTCCTTCGTCTACACCCTATTTTATTGCTCTTCTTAATTTTCACATTACGTCCTTTTCTACCCACACTAACCCATAACTCTTTATTTCTTATCGGTATTCATCTTAACACTCTTTATTTTCTAATTCCTTTACCTCTAATATCTCTCTCTCTCTCTCTCTCTCTCTCTCTATAACTCTCTTTGTCTCTCTCTTACATACATACACGCGCATTCTCTCTCTCTCTCTCTCTCTCTCGCTATCTATCTATCTATCTATCTATCTCTTACCTTATACTTTCCCGCCTTTTTTTATATCCAACACCACAGACTGTCATTTCTGATTGAATTCACCCTTTTTCTCTTTCGCTCCTAATGTTTTACAGACTACATACATATATTCTTTTTTTTTTTTCACTTTTAAACCCTGTATCTTCGCGCCCACTTCCACAGACCTCCAAATCATCGCAAACCCCTCTTTAAGACCACACCCCAACACTGCCTAATTCGACCCTTCTTCTGTAGTCCACTTCTTTTTCTGTTCCTGTAATTTGTCCACCATTCCTCCCACTCCGTCAACCAAGCGTAAATTCTATTTTACTGCCACCGCCATTCTCCTCACACGACTTTATATCGACTCTTCAACCAACACTATTTCTAAGCACACCAACCCCACTCTTTGCTTTCTGTTGTTGTTGCTATTATTATTATTATTATTATTATTATTATTATTATTATTACTTAACTTCTACTGCCTTTTTCTTACTCCCTGTAGGTGAATGTTCTCTCCTTCACCCATACCCTTCGCTCTCATCTTCAACACCCGCACACTTATTTCAAACTCAATTGTTTATGAGTCTATCTTTTATTTCTGTTGGCAAATCAGTTTTGTATTCATATTTGTCTTGCTCTTGCCTTCCTATACACAAAAATCTCTCTTTCTCTTACTAGTATTTCTCTCCGCTCCTCCTCCCACTCCCACGCGACTTCTCTCCTCGCCACGTCTCTCCTCACACCCCCTCTAGTGTCCCTTACTATATTTTTGCCTGCTACATTAATCAATATAGTTCACTGCTGTTACAGCAAGTGGCACCGCCGGTGGCGGCCGTGGTTTTACCTAAAGAACGTGTAAAAGCAAGGTGAATTCATCTCATCCCATTCTACGCCGCCATCACCCAACCAGCCCCCTCCACCGTGCTTTCTCACTTGTCCTTCCTCCCCTTCGCTTTCTTTTTCTTTTTTTTTTTTTTTTGCAGTTTTTACCTCTCCCTTGCTATCGTCTTATTCCCCCTCCTCTTACCATTTCTTTGCGAAGAAACGAGCGGGAAAAATATCGCGCTTGTGAGCGTTCTTTCTCCACCAAATCCATTCCTCACCCCAACCTTTGCTACCATTGTTGTGCTCGCTGTTAGTGCCACACAAGCCTCGCTACGTCCCTTCCTATATTTGCTTCTTCTTCTTCTTTTTCTTCTTCTTCTTCTTAAAAAAAAGACTCACTCTCCTCCTTTCTTTCTTTCTTTCTTTATTATTCAATGGTTTATTTTCCCTTTCGCTGTCTCGAATCGTTTCTTATTTTGATTTCCCTCCAATTTTTATCTGCTCTTTCCTAACAGGCGAGCACACACACACACACACACACACACACATATATATATATATATATATATATATATATATAATGTACATGTCATACAAAAGAAATGTACAAGTATACAATAAGCCTCTAATAGATGTATATGCCTGGGTGGGTGTGTATTTATTACATATATGCAACTATATATATATATATATATATATATATATATATATATATATATATGTGTGTGTGTGTGTGTGTGTGTGTGTGTGTGTGATAAAAGACACGCTCTAGTTTCAATGGACTGATTTAAAATCCAACAACCCCAAAACGCCTCCGATATAAATAAAACAAACACTCAGGCGGACAGACGCTCTCTTGAGTCTGGGCATTGGAGGTGATAAGGTAATCCAGTTTAATTTGATCTATGGGCACTACTTATCCTCAGAAATACCAATGGATTTTTTTCTTCACGTACAGTTTTGTGTTTCTTTCATTCTAACCGGAGGAAGCCAACAGCAGCTGACGCTCTCAGCGAAACGCGTCGTTAAGTAATTTCCCACTTTGTCTCGTCGTCTTCAGATATATGCAATTACATAATACATTAATTCTTAAACAACAGGAGAGAATGGTGTGCCTTCAACAACTTGGTGAGCTCCAATGTACGTCAATACACACCCGCACACACACACACGCACTGCTATTAATATACGTGTAAAAACACGGGCTCTTACATTTATAATCGCACCTAATTTTTAACCTCCCACACATACAGTCAAACACGCGCGCACACACACAGAGACACGGACACACACACACACACACACACACACACACACACACACGCACACACACGCACATGCTAGGCTGCTGAAAAATTCTCGGCCCGACAGAGAAACTCTCAAAAATAAATAAAAAAATTTTTTAAAAAAGCAGAGTTTGGGTAAGCGGGTCACGATAAGAACTTTTCATCACCCCCTCGTGTCTACTCTAAATATATATATTCCATTCAGAGATAAACAGTACCAGCGCCTGCCGTAGAAGAAGCCGTTCATCTTCGTCTCTCAAGCTGTTAATCGCTGCTATCCGAGTACTCCATAATCGTGTCCCAGTGCCAGACACGGTTAGAATCTGATGGAAATTAAAACTGCACATTCTCACCCGCTGTAAGTGAGAACTTCGATTAACAAACAAAATGACTGTAAGTCTGTTGATAGCGAGTCATGTTTCCTAACTACGATGGCCTTGTGCCACCACATTCGGTATGCCTGTTTTTATTACGCTCATATTAAAAGCTTAACGCACACATGTGGGCGATCGTTTTACGTTTATATGCACAGATTTTCAGTCCCACCATACCACTCACGCGGCTGCAATCTTTTCTACACTAATCGGTGTCAGTTTTTCTTCCTCCTTTATCAAGCCACTTAGCAGAGGTGGTTGTGTGAGCATGGTTATGTGTGTGTGTAAGTATGTGTGTCAATTCTGTTCCTTATCCGCCTCCATAGCTACCGACGACAACCGTTTCTGCTCTTCCATGCACTTGTTTCTATCTATCTATCTATCTATCTATCTATCTATCTATCTATCTATCTATCTATCTATCTATCTATCTATCTCTTTCTCTCTCTCTCACTCACACACACAGACACACACACAAATACACACATGCAAACACAAACACACAAATGTACACGTACACACATCTCTCTTTCTTGATTCTCTATCATTTCACTTCATCCGGCTACCGTTGCAACCTCCCCACCTCTCAATTTCCTGCCACTTCTCGACGAAATACACCATCTTCTTGCTTACTCTGCTAAGTGGCTAGCAGGTGAAGCGAGCCTGACGATAGAGTGAACACATTTGTGGCTTGTCTTGTCACGGCCGATCAACCGTTAGGGAAAAGAAGGGAAAAGAAGCAAAAAAGAAAAAAGATTCTTTAAAAAAAAAAAAAAAAAAAAAAAAGCGTAAAAACTACGGAAGGCTGTTAGGGTAATAATAATAACAATAATAATAACAATAATAATTCGGAAAGCCTGATAATGTTATTGCATCCAGCCCTTCCCGACCTAACCTGTTTTATGACCGTATTTAGAATAACACACAAGCGTCTAAATTTACATACGAATAAGTGGCAAGTTTTCGTTTTTCCCCTTCTATTTACGCGGTCTTCAAATGGCAAACCAGTAAGAAATGATAATCTTTGCATTATGATTATTTATAATATAGGAGAAGATGGGTTACTGCTGATGGCTAAGTTCAAGTGTCTTATATGCATTAATATTTGTATCTTACTCGGTGTTGTGGGCAGTAAAGAGTTACATGCGCACACACAGACACACACACAGAACGCAAACACACACAGGCACACACACAGATATATATATATATATATATATATTTATATATATATATGACATATATGTGTGTGTGCTGTGTGTGTCTGTGTGTGAGTCACAAGATAATAATCATTCAAAACTGCTTTTGTGTCGTGTTAAGTATGCTGATAAAGAATTTAAGTGAGAGTGAAAGAAGGGGAGGTTATCCGTGTGTGTGTGTGTGTGTGTGTGTGTGTGTGTGTGTGTGTGTGTGTGTGTGTGTGTGTGAGAGAGAGAGAGAGAGAGAATGGGAGAGAGTGGGGAGACGGCTTTTTCTCGTTATTAAGGCTTCTTGGTTTGACAGCGTGACACATAAAATAGAAATAACCTCACTTTAAAACGGACTGTTTCGCTGTAATTGTCTTTGTGTGTTACTGCTTCCGCCATTACTTTTTTCTTTCTTTCTTTTGTTTCCTTCCTTCCTTCATTTCTTTCTTTCTTTTTTCTTCCTTCATTTCCATCTTTCTTTCTTTTTTCCTTCATTTCTTTCTTTCCTTCCCTCCTTCGTTTTTTTTTGTTTCCTTCCTACCGTCATTCCTTCCTTCCTTCCTTCCTTCCTTCCTTTCTTTCTTTTTCTTCCTTCATTTCTTTTCTTTCTTTTTTCTTCCTTCATTTCTTTCTTTCAGTCTCCCCTTCTTTCTTTTTTCTTTCTTTTTCTTCTTTCCTTTCTTTTTTGTTTTTTCTTCGTTCTTTTCATTTCTTCTTTCTCTCTTTCTTTCTTTTTCTTCCTTCATTGTTCCATTCTTTCATTTTTCTTCCTTCTTTACTTCATCCGTTCCTTCCTTCTTTCTTTCTCGCTTTCTTTCTTTCTTTCTTTCTTTCTTTCTTCTTTACAGATGATGAGACCTTTCTTCAAACACCGATCTCACATTTTATTTCGATGGCACATTCCCACCTCCATCGCTACCACCTTACCCTTCATTTTTTTAAAAAAAATATCGCAAGGATAAAAATAAATTCCTTGTGTGTGTGTGTGTGTGTGTGTGTGTGTGTGTGTGTGTGTGTGTGTGTGTGTGTGTGTGTGTTATG